AGGGGAAAATAATACGAAGGCATGATATAAAGTACTTAATAATACACAATTTCGGTTTTAAATGAACTTATTTAGGAAAATTCCCCTTCTCAGTTAAATTTTAAAAAAATTGTAAATAATTTACTTTTACATTCACTTAATTTATAGACAAGTATTAACTAATCAGTGATTTTATAAAACACCAAAATTTCCCTACCAATTGAACGCCCCTGTCGTGATGTCCCCCATCTGAAAGAAATTATATTCAGCTCACCCTGTATTGATTGACTCTGAGTGATATTGATGTGCTCAAGATCTCCGATTTAATCGATATACAATCTGACCAGTAGACCATTGTAGGTTTTAAGGAAAATGGCTTTATTAAGCTAATCAATCAAAAAATGAATTCTTTAAGACCATGGCAATGGTAAAAATTTCGAATAATTCTAATTTCTTATATGTACTGTTAATAAGTCTAACTACCGATCAATAACATTATCGGGTATAATACGGATTCTTATATTCATCTCCAAAATTTTCTATTTGGTTTTGAGGTCAAAAAATGCTCATCAAATTAGTCCTCATACACGTCGTGGTAGGGTACAAATTGTGACATTAAATGAATTAGAAGCGCTAATCTAAATTCTTGTCAAGATCTAAAACACTTCATGCAGTTTAATATCAGTGATTAATGATTTTAATTATACGTTCCAAAATAATGCTTGATATTAAAAGTCCGTTTAAATTATTTTAATTCGAAATATAATCCAGATAATTGGTATTAATCAAGTTTTATTATATTATTAAATATTTATTAACATTGAGTAAAATTATTAAGTGCATAAACGGTGAAAACGATTTTTGAGAAAGCTGGACAATTTTGAACGTTTGCGCAAAAAAGCAGAGTAGTTCGAACGCAGTTTTTATTGGACTCATTTCCTCTAAGGTGTTCACTACACCTTACCTTAAAACTCCGTCCATATTCTCACTTTGCTGCATATTTCTGATTGGTAGATACACCAATTATTGCAGCCAATAGGATTGTGGTGAGAGAGCAGTTTCCCATTCTCCGTACAGTTTTGTCCCATCCGCTGCATCTTCGAGGCGTAGCAAGGAGTGTATGTGTGTGTGTATATGCATTGAAAGGGGAGAGGAAGAGAGGGAAGGGAGAAGGGAATCTTAGAGTGAGAGAGAAAACGCAGTACAAGGGGGGGGGCAGGGGGGGGTGAGTGAGTATGCTCAAACACGTGCTCATCCAATGAAGATACGGGGGCAGAAATGTGTCGAGACCACCGCCTCCATCCATTTATATATAAGTACCAATGTACCTGACTGATCGTGAAAATTTGGCATTATACAGCTCACCCTCAATGTCGTAAGTCATTTTTTTTCAAGTAACCTTTCTGAATTCAACTATATATTTACTAAAATATTTATGTCATTAATTTTTACCGACAAAAATTATAAACGGTAAATTTATTGAATGGCAGAAGTTTAATAAATACATTAATTGAATACATTAAAAATTCCCAATTTTGAAAATTTTGAAACATAATAAAACTATATTTGCGATTTATAAGCCTATAAACGATCACAATTTTATTTATGACAATTGAATTAACCAAACGATTTGAAGAATTCTGTCTTCAGGACAAATAAAATATTCCATTTACAAAGTTTTCGACTAAGTTCGTGAGAATAAACACCACATGACTTTTTTACTTCACCATGTGTAATTCCCTAATTTTTTAATTTGAGAAGTTATTCACTTGTAGAAATCAATGGGACAATTGTCGTCTCATCTTTCACATTAATTCCTATGAAAGTTTTGTTTAATAGTAGTGCAAAGAATGTCCCTATTGTAGAAGATATACAACAAGCGGTATTCGGTGGATTAGTTCATTCTTTTGGTGATCTTTAAATCCCTGTGCTTTTCTATAAGTTTGGTGAATAAACAGTATTGTTTAACTAATGGAGTCAATTTTCCGCTATTTCGAATCTGCCTTTTTGATGGATATTTGCCCTTTTCGTTGTACTTCTACGCTAGCACTTGCTTATGAAGTGAGGAGGAATTGGAATCAATGGAAAAACATGACTGTAGGGTAAACACCACCAAAAGTTCTTATCACCTGTTCTCTCCCAAGCCATATTGTTCCATGCTAAGGCGCTTCTTTTACAACGATTGTGCGCAAAAATAACTCTGAACAAACATAGGAATGAACCCATCCCCTTATGGCGATAAGATAACGACTCGGGAGAGGCAGAGGGATATATGTTCACTGCAATAAAGGACACATTTTTTGGAAAGGAGGAAGCCAGTCTTTTTAAATTACTCCAAGCCCATTAGGAGACGGCGTTTTCCAGATGATTTTGGTTAGCAAAATTCTGAGAAGAGTCTTTTCATTTTAATATCGATTAAAAATCAATTGGCCCACACAAGTTGGAAGAGGTTGAATCGTCCTCTATAGGCAATTGTGTAAGATGCATTTGTAGATAAGCTATGGGGTACAGGAAATGAACCATCCATCGTTCCCTGTGGAAGGGAATGTATTGCTTCGACATGAGACCATTTCCGTCGTGTGTGGGAGAACATAAGCTGACTGATGCTCCCTTATCTTGATATCATGCTGTGAACATTTCCGCAGGGAAAATTGTGAAAAAATAATAATGACGAGAGTGGTAACGTTGATTACAATATATATATTCATTTTATTCGGGTTTAAATACCATAATTTATTATCAATCGCTGAATCGTTTAACGAACACACCAATTAAGACCATTGAAGGTCATTTTGTTCACTTTATAGTGAATTCGAAATAATTTTATATCGAGAAATAAATTTAATGAAAACTTTCAAAGACCTATCAACACTATTTAAATAATTCAACTTCTTCTTGTTCTGTTTTAAATATGACATAGGAATAACTAAACCCCAAATATTGAAATGCTTTCCGGAATAAGGTTGGTGAAACAGATTTGAGTATTTAAATACAACCAGAATTAGTGTTTTCTTTCTTTTATCTTAAAAAAGCCAATACATCCTGACACCTATTGGTGTTTTTTTCCCAGTGCTTAAAATAATCTCCCTCCTCCCCTCCCCCTCCCCCTCCCCACCTTCCCCCCCC